GCGCGGCTCCGCCGGGGTTGGAAGGGTTCAATCGGCTCAGCTTGGAGGAAGTTGATAGGGTGCTCACAGCTGCGTGCCCAACCACGTGCAGCCTGGACCTGTGCCCCTCCTGGCTCATTAAAGCGGGCCATGAGGGGTTTCGAGGTGCCTTGGGGGAGATAATCAACAAGTCCCTGTCAGAGGGGCGGTTCCCCGAGGCACTGAAGGAAGCGATGGTCCGCCCGCTCCTAAAAAATCTAACGCTAGACCCGGCCGAATTGGCCAGCTATCGACCGGTGTCCAATTTGCCCTTTTTGGGCAAGTTGATTGAGAGGGCGGTGGCAACGCAGCTGCAGGGTTTCCTAGATGATACTTCCACCCTTGACCCATTCCAGTCCGGCTTTCGACCTGGGCATGGAACGGAGACTGTACTGGTCGCCCTTACTGACGACCTCCGTAGACATCTGGACCGGGGCGGCGTGGCGGCACTGTTGTTACTCGATCTGTCGGCCGCATTTGACACGGTTGACCATCAGTTGCTTGCCCGTCGCCTTGCCGACGTGGGGATTCAGGGGCTCGCCCTTCAATGGCTTGTCTCTTTCCTCCAAGGTCGGGGACAGAGGGTGGAATTAGGGGAGCAGCGGTCCCGGAGGTACCCGCTCGAATGCGGTGTGCCCCAGGGGGCAGTGCTCTCCCCGATACTATTCAACATCTATATGCGCCCCCTTGCCCAGATTGTCCGGAGGTATGGGCTTGGGTGTCATCAATATGCGGATGACACCCAGTTCTATCTGATGTTGGGTGGCCAGTCGGACTCTGATCCAGAAGATCTGCATCGGGCGTTGCAGGCCGTATCTGGATGGCTCAGGCTGAGCCGGTTGAAGCTGAACCCGGCAAAGACGGAGGTCCTGTGTCTGGGCCGGAACGGGAAGGGATTGGGGCTCCTGCTCCCGGCCTTCGATGGGGCGCCGTTGGTGCCAGCTTCAGAGGTTAGGAGTTTGGGAGTGCTCCTGGACTCCACCTTATCGATGGAGGCCCAGGTAGCAGCCACTGCCAAAGCGGCCTTTTACCATCTTCGGCTGGTGCGGCAGTTGGTCCCCTTTCTCAGCCGCGAAGACCTAGCCACAGTGATCCACGCGACGGTCACCTCAAGGCTAGACTACTGCTACGCTCTCTATATGGGGCTGCCTTTGTCGCTGATTCGGAGGCTGCAGCTAGTGCAGAATGCGGCGGCCAGGCTGGTTGCTGGTGTCTCGAAATGGGATCACATCCAGCCTGTGCTCAAAGCGCTGCACTGGCTGCCTATAGCATACCGGATTCGCTTCAAAGTGCTGGTCGTCACCTTTAAAGCCCTACATGGCCAGGGTCCAGCATACCTGAGGGACCGCCTTGCCCCACATAGACCCCAAAGAGCACTTCGGTCGGGGTCGCTACATTGCCTTACGATCCCGGGCCCGAAGGAGGCCAGGCTTGCGGCCACTAGGGCCAGGTCCTTCTCGGTGGCGGCTCCTATCTGGTGGAACGAGCTCCCGGAAGAGATCAGACGGAGCTCTTCCGCCAGGCTTTCGAATAGGAGCCGCCGCCACTACCACTACCACCAACGAGGACCATTTCTACAGCACCGCCGGAGGTTAAGTGGCTAATAATATCAGGGGGCCACAGTAACCTCCCCTTGAATGGATAGGGTTGTGCAATACTGGAGAGAGGGTTGTCTAGTCACGCGGGATCCTTGGGTGTTCCCATGTATAAATTGTTTTAAATTGTGTTTTATTGTATTTTATTGCACTTTTGTGCCTTACGGTTGTAAGCCACCCTGAGCCCGCACGCGGGGAGGGCGGGGTATACATGAAATTAATTAAATAAATAAATAAAAATCATCTCTTTGGACTGGCTTACCCAAACCAGAGGCTTATCAGCTCCTGTTGGCTTTCCCTGTGGGATTTAGTTTAAAAGCTGTTCTGCCATCTTTTTTGATATTAAGCAGCAGCAGCCTGGTTCCCTTTTGGTTGAAGTGAAGCCCATCTCTTTTGCACAGGCTTGGCTTGTCCCAGAAAGTTCTCTGGACCCTAACAAATCAAAACCCTTCCTCCTGTCACCATTTTCTTATCCATGCATTGATACCCCTGATCTGTGCCTGTCTAGCTGGCCCCGTGCATTGAATGGGTAGCAATTCTGAGAATACTACCTATTATTCTACCATTTTATTTGTAATTCTTTTGCTGGCTTTTCTGTAAAAAATTGGTTCCCAAAGCTGTTCATAAGAATTAAAACTCAGTACAAATGACAACATTTAATTCAAAATGATCCTTGGAGAAGGAGTTTTCAGCTGAGTTGGATCCAACTATGATGCAAGGGTGCCTGGCTGCTTCTTGCCTTCTCTCTGATGGCCTTGGAAATTAAAAACTGAGAACTTTCAAACTAATTAAGGACAAGAGTTAAAGTTGGAATCGCTCTTTAGGGGTTTAAGCTATTTAATTCAGTCTACTTGAGTACTGTTAATATTGCATAATCTGTAAAGTAACTCTTAAATACGTTGCATTTCTGTATTTAGGTTAAATTTTTCACTGATCTGTTTTTCACTGATATATTTTTACTTGCTGTGAAGAAATGCATTTCTGGGTAGGGGTATAAACTGAGTAAAATCTTCACTGTCACACATCCAAAGCCTTTTATTGGCATATACATGAAAATACAGTAATCTAAATACAAAAGCATGCATAGTAAAATTAGAATTGCAGAGTAACATCATAATAAGAGTAGCATCATAATCTATATATCTAATAGCCAAGTCGCCCCCTGTTGTGCGGATACTTATTTCTGCACATCAGGGGCAACTGGAGGGGAGGGAGAGTTTTGTGCACACGTGGGGCGGTCCCCAGGTGTGCACAAAAATCAGAAACCCTGTAAAAATATTGGGGGGATGTTTAAATCCCCCCAAAACTGACAGAGCGTCCCCTGCGCATGCGCAGGGAACGCTCTGCAGCCGGCCTCCTGCCGCCGCAGAGGGGGAAAAAAAGAGAGCAGCGAGGGGCGAGAGGAAAGCTGCTCGGCCCTCGCTTCGGTGCTGGGAGGGGGGGAAGAGAGCAGCGAGGAGCCGGGGGGGAAGGCAATGGGGGGGAGATCAAGGGGGTGTGTGGAGGAGACGGGGGGGAGGACAGGGGGAACCGGCAGGATGGGGGGGTACTTACCTCCTCCTGCTGCTTCTTCCTCTGCCTCCCCCCCGCGAGTATCGCGGGTCCGCCCCTTGTCCTTATTCTATTTTCAAGAGTTTTTTTTCCTGTGCGGATATTTATTTCCACCAACAGGGGGCTCACTCTCCCCCAACAGCTTTTCCTACATAGTCAGTAGACTTCATGAGTTTGTAGAAAAATCCAAAAACTAAAAAAATCCCTTCAGGGATGGCTGAATCCCCCCAAAAAACTTTTGAAATGGCCTCTGCAGGGATCTGCTTCAGGCATCAATGGTGAGAGATTAGAATGTTGGGGGGGGGCTTCTAACTGGCTCTGTCAGTAAAAAGGTGGGGGAAGGGCCCTTTCCAGGCCTTTTTTGGCTTTTCAGGCAGGGAGGGAGGGAGGGAGCCTTGGGGCCAGGCCTCACAAGAGTTGCCAGTGCCAGGCTGGGGAATTTCTAGAGATTTTGTGGTGGATTCTAAGGAGGGCTGGTTTTGGGAAGGGAGAGGCCTCAGCTGGGTATAATGCCACAAAGTCCACCCTCCAAAGCAGACATTTGGAGGAAGTGATTTGTAGGCAGATGTAATTTAGGAATCTCCCACTTTACTAATATTAGGGCATTGATTAATTGCTATCTCCCTCTGCCCCAGGGGGAAGTACACTAATTACATCTTTGAAAGTCTCCAAATGGCTGGTGTGTCATATTGCAGATAAAAGGCTTGTTCTAAAGTGGGGGTGTCAAACATGTGGCCCGGGGGCTGGATCAGGCCTCCAGAGGACTTCTATCAGGCATGCAGTGCAACTGGCTGTCTTCTGCTTCTTCTTCCAGTTCTGCTGCTGCCGCATCATCATAGGTTTGTAGCTTACAGATACACACCTGAACAGCATACTCAAGATTGCAACAGCACAGACATTTTGATGCAATAATTCAGAGCAAGAGGTATCAGTTATCAGACAGTGTTAAATAAACAAAATATCGCAGGAGTGCTGATGTTTTAAGCATGTTTTTATTTTAAGTAAAAAAACACCTTTGTGTTTGTGTCCTTTATAAAGTTTATATCTCCGCTACCTGGCATTACATTTTATGACACACATGTCCCGGCCCAACAAAGTCTCATTTATGTCAGATCCGGACCTCGTAACAAATGAGTTCGACACCCCTCTTCTAAAGCATCTGTGCATATGACAATTGCACATGTAAACTGCAGCAGAGGCAATAATCAGGTGCTAACATCTCAACTATATGTAACCATGTGGGCTTGGTCCTCAGTGGAGTTTGTGAGGATTTCTGAGGAGAAGGAATGCTGTGAAGACAGCAGAGTAGCCTGCCAAAAGCAGATAAGTAGTCTCTAGAGAACTACAGTAGCAAGAGCAGTGGCAGCATCACAGAGAATCAGTCAAGGTGCAGGAATGAATGAGTGTGAGAGACTTTCATAAAGCCTTGAGAGAAAGAGAGAGAAGACTTTGCTACCTCTGTGTGGCCTACATTTGAGTTTTTCTGTGTATGCATCCCATTTTAATTATCCTTCACTCTTTGTTAAATAAACCCAGTTTGTATTTTGAGCTACCTGCCACAGAATACATATTCTGATAATAAATCCTTTGCTTAGCCAATAACTAGGCCTTCTATGTGCATGCATCTGACTAAGAGAACTGTGTTTCTTGAAAGCTTATGCTACAATAAAGTTTGTTAGTCTTAAAGGTGCTACTGGGTTTTTTACTATTTTTCTTCATATAGTAATTTTACCTGATGTATTTTACCCATCAGTTTCTTTTAAACATTTGAGCAGTTTTTTTGCATGTATTGTTTAAACCTATAATGGTAGAACCGAGCTTGTTCTTTATTTTCAGCATTTGGCGAGGACCAAATATAAACTGCACAGATAGTTCGGGGTATACTGCTTTACACCATGCAGCCTTGAATGGACACAAGTAAGTGCCACAAATTATTTTGTATCATGTTTATGCTGGTAGTAGCCTACATAAAGCTAAGCCATAGTAATATTTTTTGTATGGGAACCAACACTGTAATAAAATGTCTTGCTGCTTCCTGGGCTGTTGCAGAAACCATCTCTATTTTCATATGTATTTTCATACATTTTCATATATTTTATTTTGCTGGACCAGAGATGTATATAGTTACATGTCTAGGAGAAGTATGTAATGTGCAGTGGAATTGATAAGGAAGAATATATTTCATGGTGGCTTTGTACACGTATTAAGCGTACTAAATATGGAACATCTTGTTAGCATGGTGGTCCTCTCCCCACATATGCAAATACAGTCCTGTTCTTTAAGTTGTGTTGGTTGGGAACAGTAACAAAACAGTAACAAAAGTGATCAGTATTGCCATGTTATGCTTATGCTTTGGAGTTTAAATTGTGAACAGAAGTACAAGCACTGCAAAGGCGTCCATTTATACTACTGAGAAATTCAAGCAGTTTTAAGCTGGTGAAATGCTTTGATTTTATGAAGCAGTATGGATTAATTTTGCATTGTTGTGAGAAGCAGGAGTACAGGCCTGCCCAGTGGACAGCACATTTCTTTTCTGGGCTTCTAACAATAAAGTTTAATCATGTGAAATGATGTACTGCTGTCCCTAGCTTGTCCCCATAGTTCAGTGGGCTATCCTATAGCTACTATGGCTGTACTTCAGGAAGAAGAACCCTGGAAATTAATGAGAATTGACCACTGATATAATCCACAAATTCTTCTGTTTTGCCTTTTATGAAGTTCCACATATACAGGCCAGTCTCACAATCTTCCAGAGGTCTCTGAATATGAGGCATGCTCCTGCTGCTCTCCACTAATGGTTTCCATCTTTCTTCATGCTTCCTCATTTTTATCTCTTTGCCATGACAATGAAGAGTTTGCCACATTTCAGGTTTGCAGGTGGCACAGAAATGGCTGTTTAAAAATGTCTTAAGTGTGATGGTCAGACTGCTCAGTTTGATGGCCACATAATTTGTGTATCTTATTTAGGAGAGGAACATAATGCATAAGGTAATTTCTCAAAACAATTGGTAATTGAAATCAAGGGGCCATTTTTCTGAGAGGGCAAGTTCAATACAAAATGAATATAAAGATTGTTTTGTATTAAGACTAATATGGCAGTCAAGCCCTTTCTTCAAATGCATAAAGTAACTATGACATAAAGGAAAGGGTAAAAAGATGCATAGGAGAAGCCACCCATTTAATTTAAATTTAAGAGGAGTTCTATTGAACATTGACAAATTAGTATGGTAAAGAATAAAAGAGATGAGTTCCTGAACTTACGTTTAAGTTAATTTCCTCTAATCAAAGAATTTGAGCACATTTCAGGTTATAAGGTAAATATGTATAAAATCAGATGTATGAACTTATGGACCTGTTGACACCCAGCTGTATCTGTTATTAGATGGCCACCCAGATGTCACCCTGCAGAATTTGGCTATGGGTTTGGAGGCCGTGGTGGGGTGGTTAAAAAAGAGCAGGCTGATACTGAAGCGATGGCGAACCTAAACAGCATGATAAAAAGTAGAGACATCACTCTGCCAACAAAAGTCTGCATGGTCAAAGCAATGGTGTTCCCAGTAGTCATGTATGGACTACTGTATGGACTATAAGGAAGGCCGAGCACCGAAGAATAGATTCTTTTGAACTATGGTGCTGGAGAAGACTCTTGAGAGTCCCTTGGACTGCAAGAAGATCAAATTAGTCAATCCTAAAAGAAATCAACCCTGACTGTTCCCTGGAAGGGCAGATACTGAAGCTGAAGCTCAAATACTTTGGCCACCAAATGAGAAGGGAGCACTCACTGAGAAGACCCTGATGCTGGGACCTTATACAATTCTGCAAGGGCTGTAAGCTGGAGATGTTCTGGCAGGCTTTTGGCTGAGGGCAGCAACGGTTTTCAAACTGGCTGGCACCCCCCCTTAATCTCCAAACTTACTTGTTCCTCTTCCTCCCTGCCTGCGAGGAGGTCAGCAGTCCAGAATAGGAAATAATGATAAACTTGCCACCTGATTTTTAGGTTTGTTTTATTAATTTTATGTGTCCATTCTTTTTTTTATAACTTTGATATATTTTATATGTTGTACATCACTTAGAGCCCTGCAATAGCAGGGATTGAGTGATTCATAAATCCAATTCATCTTCATCGTGGTCCCTGTGCAGTCCCACACTTGGGTTTTGGCCTGCCCACAAACCCAATCTCGGAGATCTGGAAGAGCTAGTCTCAGACAATTTTTGGCGGGCTTTTCTCCTCCGCTCTGGGGAGCAGACTGCTACTGCGCATGCCTGGAGCTGAGGAGAAACCCCGCCCCCACTCAGTTTCTTCTTTTCCGCTGCCACGTTCAGACCTCGTTGCGCTTCACTCCTCTGGTTTGCCTCAGCTGCCTCATTTCTTTTACCTATTGTCTTTACCGTTGTTTTCGTCTTCTTTGTCTAAAAAAAAAAAGATATCTTAGTTTGTTGTTGTCTGTGAAGATTCTCTGTCTTCTCCCCCCCCCATCCTGGCGGACTCGAAGAAGAAAACCACCTTTTAAAAAAGGTGCCGGGGCTGTGGAGCAAAATTACCATTGACGGACGGCCACTCTCTCTGCCTGTTTTGCCTAGGAGAAGGCCATCTTGTGCTCACTGCAGTAACTTTAGTACTCAAGCCCATAAAAATCATGCTGCTCGCCTCAGGAGTAATCTCTTGGAGGCCTCCCTCCGCCCGCAAATGTCGCAGCCCTCAATGACTCGTGCCTCACCGCCTCCCTCACAACCGAAGGGAGATTTGGCTCAGTCGGGTGCTACCCCTGGGCAGAAGCATAAGTCCAACAAAAAGGGAAAGTCATCCCAAAAATCGACTATCTTGGCTGTCTCTGATAAAGTCAAATGTAAGTCTGAGAAGGAGGCAAAGAGATCGTCGGAATCATCCTCTGACCCTCCGAGATCGAAAAAGTCCAAACAGTCTTCCTCAGCTGACATCTCCACACCAACGGTTGCTTCGGCACCGATGGCGGTACTGGCAGGGCAGTCGGATTCGTCAGGTCTACAATCCGAAGAGGCTCGGCTTCAACTGCTCAGTGCCCAGCCGGCCGACGTGCATCATACTCAGGTCATGATGATCCCTTCCCGTTCGCCATTGGCTTATAGCCAACCGCCTTCTGATCTCCTCGACTCCGAGGAGCCTCAGGATCGAACCTTTCGAGATCATGAGGACTGGTTCTCGTCGGTTGTACTGACTGCCTCACCTCAACGTTCTCGAAGTCGTTCACATGGGCCTTGCTATTACTCTGGGTCTCCCTCCCACTATCGGCCAACACCCTACCACCAACACTAATACGCCTCAGATTCGAGATCTCAGTCACCTCATACATACGAAAGGCGCTACTACACCTCCAGACAACATTCTCGCTCACGATCTTGATCCCCAATGACATATCACTACTCAGAGAGTCGGGGAAGTCACTGGGACCTGGATGACAAGATACGGGCCTTCTTATGACACAACGCTCATCTCACACTACCAAACCGCCCCCATCAGCGACCTTAGGGGCCCCTTCTCCCTTGGACTCGGCTCCTATGCAACCTCTGGAAATCCTATCTACATGCCAGATGACCTCTCCAAACACCTCGCGTCCCCATCGGGTTCGTCCAACCACAACTCCGAGCACTTGGATTCGGATTGTGAAGACCCCGTACCGACCCCTCTGGATCTGGATTTTGGGAGAGTCAGGTTCCCTCTCGCCATTAGATGGTCCTAAATCATACCTGCAACTTCTAGCTTGTCTGTGCCAAGCACTACAGGTCCAATTGACAAATGAAACCCCTAGAGTTACGGATCTTGTCCACAAGCTAGTACAGGCTGACCTCCCTTCCGGAGCCTTATTGCCCATGCTTCCAGTTCACTTAGAAACTTTGAAAGAGGCTTGGGATACTCCTGCTACCATTCCTCGAGCTCCTAGGCGTTTTGACTCCCTGTATAAGATTCAACCGTGTGATGCCAAGTTTCTTATCTTGCATCCACCACCGAACTCTCTTATTGTACACTCAGTGTCTAAGGCCAAACAACCCAAACACCCGGCACCGCCTGATCAGGAAGGCAGAAAAATTGACACCCTAGCTAGAAAATTTACTCCCTTACCATGACCGTGTCCGAACTTACATGGCATGGCCAAATCCAGTTGGGAGGCTATAGATGCTGTTCCAGTCCCAACTGAATGAGTGATAAATTCACATCTTGGGGCTAGAGCTGCTGTCAGTTCCCAGGGGCCATGCCAACCCCACAAAGACAACCAGGGGCATAGCTATGTCACAAGAGCAACTGTGAGTACACTGCTCCTACAAGCACAACTATGGGTATACCACCACCCTAGCAGTATAGTGCACAAAACTGTGCAAGCAACATGGGCCCAAACCTCACAAGCAGTCTGGGGCCCAAAGCCCCAAACTGCAGTGGAGAAGTGAAACTCTGGAGCAAAGTCTCCATGACCATTTCACCAACAGAAACATTTTACCACTTTAACACTTATACTCCAAAATCATGCACAACCTCCACTATCCTTGTGTAGTAATTACTCACATCTTGCCACAGTCATAAAACCTTTTTCTAAACTCTCTAAAAATAAAAGTTATAGGCCGTCCCACCCCACCTCCTTTGCAGCCTGGACTCCTTTATCAGAAGAACACTGCCTAACAAAATTTGCTGCTTTAATTTACTCAGCCCTAAAAATATGACTTTGATAAACCTGCCCCAGTGTTTCCATATGTGTAGTGTGTTTATGTGCACGTAAAGCATATTTCTCTTTTTTGTCCACCACCCCAAGTTAAATCCAGCCTCTCACATTGCCAGTGACTTGAACAGGAAAACTTTATTGCCACAGGTTAGCTAGGGCACAAGACAGGAAAAATAAATATCATGCATGTTGGTTTACAGATCTAAGGAAAAGGAAAACCATAACACT